AGTTTAAACAAGGATATCAACTACATAAAATGTTATAAACTATACATTGTTATCTATGATCAAACAGCCATTTCTAGTTCTCATTTAATTGTAAAAAGATCGGAAGGGATAACAGATTTGACGGCGGACGTAAGGAAGGGGAAATTTCTCTTTTCAGAAAGGCCTGTCTTTCATCTGTTGGGGAAATATATTTGCTTTACGTTTTTGTTCCTTTCAGTGCAATGCGCTGCTTTATCTGCATTAGTTACTTATGCTAGATTCAATGACAACTACAAATTGATTGAATACTTTTCTCTCCAAGTTATAGAAAGTTATTCTCGAAGGAAATTCAAACGGATTGTTCTTAAAGTATCTCGTTATCTGTCTTCTCAACACAAATAAAAATCAATGTGTGTTTATTCCCTATTCGTTTCTAAGCTCCTACGAGTATATAGCATTTCATGAAATTTGTAAAGTCAAAGAAATCACATAGCTTAAAACTTTTCTATACTATTAATAAAGCGTAAACACACACTTCTTTGTTGCCTAAGATGTCAGTAATCACAGCATATTTTTGAATAATTCTTTTTTTAATAAAAATCCCTACACTTAAGTGACGCTTTAGGCTATATATTTTCACGCCATTAAACTTAAGGGGTAAACATTTTGGATAAAAACCCTAATGTGGGAAAGACCATAAGTTGCTGTAAATGTAACACACATAAAAAAACATACAGACGAATTTAGTACCTCCTAAAGTCGGTCAAAAAATAACATAATTTTATGCTGATGAAATTGCACGGGACCAGCTAGTAGATAATAATAGTATGTTTATTCAACTAAATATTTTTTATCTCTAACATTTGATTTCAATTTACTACTCAGCCTGCCTGGTTCAGCTGTGATACTGAGACTTCATTTCCCATTTTCAAAAGGCATCATCACTACAATTTTATAAAACAAATGATTGCATTATAAATAAAATAATATATTTTATAAAATCAAATTTACATAATTAAATTGTAAGAAAATTTTTCACATTATATTATTACCTCTGATTCTATAAATAAAATTACATTACACGTCATTACTGAGTTTTATTATAAATCAGAAAATAAACTGTTTGATTAAAACCACATCGCAATTATACGTGGATTTTATAGTGGATGTGCTCCAACATTGCCTAAGGCTGTTTGTTCGTAATGGCTAATGGAGTTTGTGCATTTTAATTACAAATTGATGTCTGCTTTCAGTAGTGTGCAATTTTACTGATTGTTTATACACACACGTACCTATTATCGACTATTAAACATTAATATCCCGGTAGCGTACTACTGCGAATGCTTTTGTAATTTATTTTTTATTGATCAATCTGTATCACTATGCTCTCATTGTTTTAAATAATAAACCACCAAGCTTCTCTTTTTATCAATTTCAACTGCACGTTGCGATATCGATATCTATCTATTTTACACCAGTCCTAATTATTCGATAATGTTCTATTTTGCTGAATTCTAATTAATCAATGTTGGGAAAACAAGGTTCTTAATTATAAACGAAATAAAAAACGAATAAGTCAAAAGAAATGGCCAGTACAGCCACTATTAAAGATGTCAAATATAGAAGCAAATAATGGAAGGTATTTTAGTGAATCGGTCTCAGATTTTAAATGAATTTAGATTAGCTTCATTGCAATAGAATATAGTCTTGTGCAGTATCAGACGCAGACAATAGTAATACTGCGGGGAATACAATCTTACACTGCACACTCTGTGACTTAATTACTGAAATAGGTGTCTACACTAGAATGATTTAGTTAACTGTAAGCAGTTAATAAAACCAATATTTGCATTTGCTATAAAAATGAACCTAAAAAGGCCTCGTTAGCATCAATCATTTAGACAATTTTCTACATTATTTTGAACAAAATTCTTGTTTTTCCAATGGTTTTGATTACTTACATTAAGCATTTTGCGCTAATGTTGACTATGAGGTTATCTAATCTAGAAAACGCCAATTTAACATATGTTACAATTTACCATGTGGCTCACTATAGTCAGTCAACTGAAATCAGATAGTAATATTGATGATAATAATCATAATGGATTACCTCGATGTATTTCGGAATCACTTAACATAAACAAACAAATTGTCATACTTATTTTTACTATCAGAATATTGAATTATTATAAACTAGCTGTCGCCCGCGACACCGTCCGCGTGATAAAAAAAAACAAAAGTGAGTAGCCTATGTCTTCTTCCAGACTATCCTCTACATATATGCCAAATTTCATCGAAATCCGTTCATCTGTTTAGGCAACAAACTCTAACAAACATCCATCCGTCCATCTAAACTTTCACATTTATAATATTAGTAAGATGTAGGGTGTCCGGAACGAGATTTGATTATCTGAAAGTTTTTTTATTTCTTTATCCTAAAGACATACTTAACCATGATATCAGTATTTTCAAGTTTGTAAAGAGTTATGAAACCTTGGCTATACTGTACGGACGTCAGATAATGATATAGTACTCTAAATAAGCAAATGAATGAAATGAATAAAACGTTTAATTTTATTAAAATTGAGATATTATTAATTTAAAAATTCTAGACACTACTAATTAGGGTTAATTTAGGCGAGAGCCTGAACAAGTATCTTGATACCATTTTTCATTTGGACCAATGAAAACATCTTTCCTTCAGTAAAGATCATGTGACACTCTAAAAGTCACCATGCATCTGCCACTTAGATGTTAAAAAAAATAAGAAAAATGTAAAGAAACTACTTCGAATAATACCATTTTTATTATATCTGCCACCCATTCTTAACCTACCTAGATCATTGGTGACGCTAGTAACAAATACTATATAAGAATTGATGACTTTAAATCATCATCTCCCCTGCCTTATCCTACTCCCGTAGGGTCAGCGCACCGGGTTTTCGTCCTCCAAAGCACTCTATCATCCGTCATCTCAGTCATCACTCCCTTCTTGTTCATGTCACCTTTCACGCAATCCATCCAACTCTTTCTAGGTCTACCTCTAATTGATGACTTTAAATATAATCTTTATATACATTTATGTAGTTTTTCAGATGACTTTGTATGCAGGGTATAAAAGTTTTTAAACCTTTCAATACAAAAATTCGTGGAACAAGACACCTTTGTGTCGACGCAGATACTCCCATAAAGTCTCCCCTGGGTGACTTTGTGAATTTCGTGAAACTTGGTGAAATGTTTAGACCCACCTGTGCTATTTGTTCACAAAACTTCTCGCCGTTGTACACGAGAGTTTGTGTAGGAAATTAGCTAGGTGAGTTGCAGATGTGTTACAAACTACAACTATTAAAAGTAACAGCACTTTAATTAATAAATATACCGGAAAAATTAGACGTTAAAGCTATCTCCATCTATGCGCTTTCCACAATGTAAACTGACTTTATGGATAGCGTTTTGTGAGTCAACTGGGTGTGATTTTAATGGCTACTCCTATGATTAATTTACACAATGATAGAGCCCGTTTTAACATCTTTGCACGATTGGGTCTGCTCGGTGAAATACCACGACCACACAGAAGACGTGAAGTAGGAGCTATTCCGCGAACAGTCGAAATAGTATAGGACCAAAGGCACAACTATAGTCCCTTTTTCTTCCCACCTCATTTCTTATAAAAAAAGGTTGGGAAGGGAACGCGGACTTGACGCTGAAGTAGACGTATAGGAAGGGGAAAATCCTCTTTATGTGGGTTTCGACCTCCGTCGTTTAAGGGTACGCATCGCATCTGCTATAAGAGATGTGTATAGGCAGCGGTCGCTTCGCTGTTTTGGCGGATTCAGGTGGCCGCTTGCTAGTTTGCCACCTTATGATATAAAGAAAATTGACGTTTAGCAAAATTTGTATTTACTTAAGTTGGAAGTCATCAGAACCGTCTAATGAAAACGCAACTCTATCACTACTAACTATAAAGCATATTTTTTTGTTGCAATTTCAGTCTTTGGGTTATACTTAGGATGTTTTGTAGATCTTCTGAGAAGACTATTGGTACAATACGACATGTTTTGAAATTTCATATTCCTCAATCCTTTTGTAGGGCATCTTGAAAAGAGGAATGAAACGGAGATATGTTGTTTTGAAAAATGTCGCGCTAAAAAACATGAGGCATAGAATAAAGTTCATTTATTGTTTATTACAAAAGTCGTCAACAAAAGTGTTCTTATAGAATATGACGTCATGAACAAGCAATTGTAAAATCTTTTTGTACTGCCCATATATCCTGATGCATAAATTTAATACCGTAAAATTTATTCTGGTTTTATTTTATCATATGAATACCGTGTAAGATAATGAATCAGATAAAAATTTAAATTCATTGCATTATAAAATTATATTTGCGTCTTCATCTGTAAAAAGGTAATGCATATATGCACGTCATGCAATTATTATTAACAATGATATTTGTATGTGCGTAGGTACTAAAGTTATTTTTCTTTTAAAATATAAAACCGATTCGTGCATATTTATCCTGAAGTTCTTTTGTTTTAGTTTTTCTCGCGTAAAATTAACGAAAAAAAAAAATACCTGACGCACTCATAAAATTATAACTTGATTTTAATTAAGATAATATTGTATGGATGAAATGTCTTATAAGAAATTATTTATCGTATTATTTACCAACATCTACAGATATACTTATGGATAAGATATTTTTGTACTGCAGCGCTAAGTAGTTTTACCACAAACTAACATAGAAAAGTGTAAGGGTCTTACATGCCTAAATAGACATACGTTCCTCTACCCTATGGGAATAGTTGTTAGGAAAGTTCCAAGTATGTTAACGATAGGTCCGCGCTGTTAGCGATTTAATTGTTTACTGTTGTAATTTTATCACAACTGAGGAAGTCGTAGACAGGGTGGCGTGGTGGCGGCTGGTCGACGCATCGGTAAAGGCTTATCAAGACAAGCAAGACCTTCAGTAGAGAAGAAAACCAAGAAGTAAATTTAATAAAACAAGTAAAACTTACATCCTGTTGGTTAAAGAAGTCATCTTGGGCCTCCTCGTTTGAGCAGCCCATGTCTTGTAGCAACGGAGTCACGTGTCGCTCCCAGTCATCCATTTTTTTAGAATCAACACCTAACCAGAGGAACCCGAACCGAAAATCACAACTTAATCTTCACAGCAGAGGATTATTAGTTGCCACTGATAATCTTTGGCGGGTTGCGAGCCAGCATTTCGCGCCAAACGGTGCGCACTTTTTATTTGAAAGTGGCGGGAAGAGTCGTCAACGACTTCGGCTGTCACTGAGGTGAACGAGCGGGAAAAAACGGCAGCGGCCTATCACGTGCCGCAGGAGCGGGCACGAGAGGCACGCACTGGGAAAAGTCGGTGTAAACAGCGCGAGAGTAGTCAGTGTGGCGAGGCGCGGGTTCCCGGCCGCCCGTCGACGCGACCGGAACAGGAGTGTGCGGCGGCTCGCGAGGCCGCACGCCCTCGCCGCCGCCCTCCCTCTCGCACTCACGCCGCCCGCCTACCCGCGTCCCTCTCTCGCGACTCGGCGTCGCACGCCTACCATGGGCGGCCGCGATTTCCCGCCGACCGACTGTCCGCAACATGGCCGTAGGTATCTACGTCGCCGTCCACTTACCACCGTCTAACTGGTCCATCGTCAACTAGTTCTTGCAAACCGTCATGGAAAGAAACTTTTGTATATGTTCATCTGTGGGGTCCTATTTCCCTTGATTTTCGGCAATTTTCTAAAAGTTCGAAACGCGTACAAATAAATAATTCATTCAAAATCATATACATAGTCTAGCCAATTTTTCTAAAAGTCCACCAAAAACCCTGGTGGTGTAAAATCCCATCACAAGCTAATACAGTACAGGAGCAACTAAACAATGTACTAACAACATTTATTTATCTTGGTATTGTGGTATAAATGGTAATATTATTGATGTAAAAAAATCTACAAACACTAAATTACATCGTACAACAAACATTTGGGAAAAATACTAAGCAAGAAAATTCTATCACCAAACGATATTAACTATCGTCATGTTTTGTTTTATTAAAATGAATTATAAATTCATACACACTATACGGTGCAAAGCGAAATAGAACTAACGTTGTTAACAAGAATAACAATCTAAGTTAGTTAAATAATCTCCGTACAGGGTAGACCGTCCTGAATCTAAAATGGTAATGCAATAATGCAGCGAACTGGAGCGAACTTTCATCTCTGCTGTAAGCATGTTTAAATGTTACACGCATTTTCTTCTCACAGGAAACACTAACTGAATTTTAGTGAAAATTAATATTATTCGAAATGTTTAATAAATTAAATTGTAGATAAAAATTGATGATCCTTTTTATTCATAATTAAACATTGCGAAATTAATTTCAAATGATTAAGTTACTCAAAAAAATACTGAATATATGTAACAAATATTTCTATCTTGTATCTCTCTTAAAGTTGTAGTCAAGTGATGTCTTGGTACGTTAATATATGTCGGTCCGATTATGAAGGTCGCTGAAGCTGAAGAAAATACTTAAAATAAATTACTTAAAATTTTGTAACTCAAAAGTAATCAAAACATTTAAATCACATCATACTAATATTATAAATGCGAAAGTTTGGATGGATGGATATTTGTTAGAGTTTGTAGCCTAAACGGCAGAATGGATTTCGATGAAAAGTACAGATGGGGAGAATAGTCTGGAAAAAAACATAGGCTACTCACTTTTGTTTTTTTTTCCACGCAGACAGAGTCGCGGGCGAAACCTAGTATCCATATTTTAAATCGCATGTCGCTTGTTTGTTTGAAATTTTAAACTAGCTGAGATGTTAGCCGTGCAGATATAACTTAGGAAGTTCGGTCATTATTAAAAGCGAAGCGAGTAACATAGTTAAACACTTACAGCGAGCGGAGTTTGTGAAGAACGTACAAGCGGCCAATTAAAAGTTAAATGTCTAATTCTTGTTAGACGCGGGAAGTCCGCAACCAGTAGGTTAGTTTCACTAAACTAAAGTTTGCAACGTTTCCCCCGATAGGTATGACATGGGGCCTTCAATTATCTCTCAGGAAGGTCTCAGGAAAGCATATTTTTAAACCAGATGCTTTAAAGTTTAGTTGATCTTTACGTGGCTACTAAAATACAACAAAGATCCTACGTCACATATAAAAACAAAAATACAAATCTTTCCTGTTTATAATATTAGTATAGACAGCGACCCGACACCGCTTCACACGGGTCAAATGCTATTACTAAATATAATAAAGTATCTCCACTTTCTATTATACATGTATTATACACTAGCTTTCGCGCGACTCTATCAGCGTGATATTAAAAAAACAACAGTGAATAGCCTATGTGTTCCTCCAGACTATCCTCTACGTCTATGCCAAATTTCATCGAGATCCATTCAGCCGTTTAGGCTACAAACTCTAACAAACATCCATCCATCTAAACTTTTTTATTTATAATATTAGTATGATTGTGAAGTAAACAGCAGTTGGATCTCTCGATCCAACTGCTACTCAGCTTTGCTAAATAAACGTAAACGTTCTAATGAAGGTTTCTATATTGTCGTTGACTTCGCAACAATATTACCCGATAGTGTTTTATTACTACGTAGGTTTTAAATTTCATTATCCGTTTATATTCATAACTATCTAGAAAATATATACAAGCTTATAACTCGTTCAGTAGTATAGAAAACTTTGACATTTATGTTAGACTATCGAGAAGGTACTTCCAACATAGGCGTCGCCAAGAGGGTAGCTCTAAAACAGCTGACAGGAGAAATGAAAATGTTGAATGTACATATAAAAACTACTTTAAATAAGACAAGCGTAGATCATCGGCTAGCATTACCCATTCTAAATACAATTATTTATTTCTATAGTTGGCATATTCATGTTATGGTTTCAAGTGAATAGGTTGTTGTAGGAGGTAGGATTGAATCATAAATATTTCTAACTAGCTGTTAGTCGAGACTTCGCCCGCGTAAAATTTAAAAAAATAGTAAAAACATAGGTTATGTTATTCAGTGATAACATAAGTTTTTAATGGTGCAAGATTTTTTTAAATTTGTCCAGTAGTTTTTGAGTTATTTCAATACATACAAAAATACAAATCTTTCTTTTTTTACAATATAAGCATAGATATCTGTTTAATCTGCATATGCCGGAATTATTAATTCGGTATCAAACCGTGCTTTGTACAATAATGCTGCTGTCTATAGTTGTAAAATCTATAGTTTCAAGTTTTCAATTGGATTCAAATCAACTGTGTAACTGGGCTTTACTTTTCTACCAGGGAGCTTTCCATAGGATTCGTCGGCAGTAGTTGGTCCAGTGGTTTCCACTGGGTAAAACTCTTGCACATCTTGCTATCCTCGTTTATTCCAAGAGAACGAGAGGGAAATTAGCGAATCAGTAGCAAAATCCATGATACATATTCGACTCTCACATTTTCATGACATTCATAACAACAATGTAACATTTACATGTTCGAAAAACAATCAGTAATATGTTAACATAAGGAATGTATGTAAGTTGGGTAATAACATGTGTAGTTATTTTTTATGCATAAGTATGTTGTTGTAAAAGTAGTCGGATAATAATACTAACAGATATTTACCATACTGACAGGCGATTAATGTTTATTTACATGTTACCCGCGACTTCGTTTACGCAATATTAAGATAAAAAAGTAGCCTATAATTTGCCAGTCTATGTCAGCTACTCTTCAGTGAAAGTCCAGTCCAAATCGGTCCAGCCGTTTCGGAGACTACCAAACGAGGCTTGGGAGAGACAGACAGATAAAAAAAATAAATGCGATTTTCGTTATCTGCAACGCAAATCCATCATCTTCCTGAAATCTGGAATTTTTCTTTTGTTAAGACATATAGTATGTCAGTCTATGTCAGCTACCCTTCAGTGAAAGTCCAGTTCAAATCGGTCCAGCCGTTTCGGAGATTACCCGGAACAAACGAGGCTTGGGACAGACAGACAGATAAAAATTTTTTCTTTTGTTAAGACAAATAGACACTACAATTTTATTATACGAGTATGTCTAGATATACCTATATGTATGTAGCCTAAACAACGTTGACAACGTATTATAAACAATGACTTTAGAGGTGGGGTAGTGTAGAGTCAGTACAAGTCATTACTCTCTTAATTTTTTCACTACATTGCTGTTATTTCTTAAACTCTATAAGTGAGAAAATGTAACTTTCATACATGTTTATATGTGACAAATCTAGATTCAAAATAAAACATCATTTTAAAATAAACAATATTCATAAAACAACTATTCAGCATTAAAAGGTGATCCGGCAACTTTTTCAGCATTCTATGCTTGCTCTTGTACAATAATAAAAAAAAAGTTTCATAAAAGATTCGATCTGTCGGTCTGCAATCCATTTTCGCTGTTAAGGAAATTGTTCTTCAACGAAAACGTCACATCGCTCGCAGTCGCTAGTTTCAAGTACGCACGTCACTACTGCTATGAAATTTTTGCTTGTTTATTCTATTCTGCGAGAATATTGAAAATCAAAGTACTTTTTCATGAATAGATTGAAATATTAAAATGTTCCATACTTGCGTCTTGTTTTGTTTTTCACTTGTTTTTAAATTTTACGAGCTCCGTCCGCGTGAAAATAAAAAGAACAAAATTAAGCAGCCTATATTTTCTTCCAGACCATCGTCTACGTCTATGCCAAATTTCAGACAGACCCGTTCAGCCGTTTAGGCTACAAACTCTAACATCCTTCCATCCATCTAAACTTTCACATTTATAATATTAGTAAGATTGAAGATTTCAGAAAAAAATCGAATTTATTCTATTTAACGAACAGTTTTACTTCTTGTATTTGGAATGAAAGTTAAGGTGAATGCAAACTCTTTATAAGTTGTTTAAAGTAATATACTCGTATTAGCTCAACTTTTCTGGAAATGGCCTATAAATTAAGATTACAAATTTCAAGTAACTCGGTCAAAAGTTTTTATATTTAAATGTTTTTAATTACGTTTACACAAGATTTCCAAATTTAAGCGCTAGCGGGCTGTAAATAATTTTAGAACATGTTTACAGTATCTTGTTCGCAACAAATCCTTTTAAATTAGTCGGGAAATCTAATTAAATAAAGATAACATTATAGCGAAAAAGATGTGTTAAATGTACAAAAAAATATCATTAAAATTGAATGAAAAGTTGCGGTAAAATAAAATTTACGTAAAACCTAGATAAAATCAGAATTTATCGCATTTCTGTTGTAATCGTACAACTTAATAAAACAATTATAACCGAATATTATTTTTAGAATCTAACAAGTAAATACTTAAAACCGCAATTTACAATTATATGAACACGTAACGACGAAATTCTTGCGTGTACAGGAACGTTTTTCGCAACGCCAAGTCTGGATGTCAAAATTAACCTTAGCTGTCAAACTTTTAGGCGGATTGCAAAATAAAATACGTGACTAAGAATTAAGATATTAAACACAATGACGACGCCGCCGTCTGAATTAAATTTTGATGAAATACTGAAATTTATGTTAGCTCACAATGGTAAAGTGACAAACTTTGAGTTAGTTAAACATTTTAAAATGTTTTTGATGAATCCAGATATGCGAGGTGAGTAAAACTTTGCGAAAGTTTCTTGTTTGGAAAGTGTTTTTGTTTACTTATCGTAAAAATGATTATTTGTAGATGAAGCAAGAAGTACGTTTAAAAAGCATGTGAATGCTTTGGCTATTATGAAAAATCAAAATAACGAGAAATGGTTGATTCTGAAGAAGAAATATATGCCGGTTAATATTAAAGACGGCGACGATGTAAGTGAAAATAAAGTGTCGGAACCACTTTCTAATGTTTCGCCTACTGAAAGTGCCACAGAGGCCACTGTTTCAGAACCAGCAACATATCAACCTGAACTCCCACTTCATCTTAATCAAGACTTCAGTGTTTTAACAAGTATAATCCAAGATACAAATTTGAATGACCAAAATAGCTCTGGAACACCTAAAAGTGACTCTAAAGAGAGTTTGTTTGCATCAACTGAAGACATACCTCCTAAAGTTCATCCACGAAGGAAGGCAAGTGAAAAATTGGAGAAACAATCAAGCTTAGTTTCAGACAGTGGGTCACGGAACTCGATTCTGACCCATGAATTATCAGAGCAAAATGACACATCTACTGCATCATTGTCATCTTCTAGAAGTGAAAGTATGTTGTTGGATAATGAACAAAAAATATCTGTTAAGGAAAGGAAGCAAATGTTCAATAGGATGGCCTCGGAGAGTGATGTACCCAAGCATAAAATAGGATTTAATAATTCGGTAAGTATTGTTTTTATCATCATACTAATATTATAAATGCGAACATTTAGATGGCTGGATGGATGTTTGTTAGAGTTTGTAGCCTAAATGGCTCAACGGATTACAATGAAATTTGGTGTGGCTGTAGAGGGTAGTCTCGAAGAACACATAGGCTACTCACTTTTGTTTTTTTTTTAAATTCCACTGAGACAAGTTCCGGAGCAAGAGCACTCAGACAAGTCGCAAGCTAGTTTTTCTTTAAATTATCTTTATTTTAACACAAATGTTAACAATGCTAGGGCTATTTATTGAGTTTTGTGTGAAATTGGTATTTGTGTTTAAACTCTTCGGACATTCTTATGCCATAAACAGATATAAAGAAATTGTTTTTAAAATACTTTAATACACAAATTTTCATCATTTTTGACGAAGACAAAATTTGTGATTTTACTGCCATTAGATAAATTGTTACCACTTTTAGATGTAGCTAGCAGAATGTTCTTACGCTGTGATCTAATAAAATGAAAACCATACTTATGTTTTACTACACTCGGGAAGTAATTTCATGACTACATGGAAATGAGACATTTTTCTATAAACAAATCAATTTAATTCCTAGTTTAATAATGAGCACATCCACTCTTGGTACACCTGTACAAGCAATTGTTATAATTTAATATTGATGTTATTGTTTGATGGGAATGAGATAACATACCTCTTTTATAGATTATACTAGATAGTTGTAGAGATCATCGGTGGTAATCTTCTACAAGTTTTTATTGCTCAGAGACACACTTAGTATCTCATTTTATGGAATTTGGTCATAGTGTGATTTGTTCTTAAGTCTTTGCTTTCAAATTAGTAATATTTTACAAGAATTAATAATATTTAGTAATAATTAGTGCAATTATATTTTATTACTACAATTAATATTGGTTAATCACTTATTTAAATATTATTCACCTGCCAATTTATTTAATGATTAAGCAATGACTCATTGTATTCTAGTTTATTGAATTTAAGTTTACTTTTTGTTTTTATGTATATTAACAATCCCTGCTTTGAGTTATTTCACATCTGTAGGTTTTTCTGTCATATCACTTATAATAATATCTTATCTTACTTAAGCTGTGTTCTTAAACAGTTAGATAAGGAAGAAATTTAGATAGTCAATATTTCATTTAGCTAATTCTAAAAAAAGTGCAATAGTACCGCAGTTCTAGTATTTAGAAATACAGAGTAGCAGTACAACAGTAATTGTGTGTTCAAACAATAAGTATTCCATTGTTGTACTGTTTGTTTAAACTTGAACTCTACTCCTATGAATCATGTATTCTATACTAACACTATAAAGAGTAGAGATTTGAATATTTTGATTTTTGTATGTATTGGTAAAAACTACTGAACCAATTTCAAAAATACTTTCACCATTAAAAAGCTATATATTTTTTACTATATCTTGAATTTCACGTGGATGAAGTGACAACAGCTAGTATCACATATTGTTATGCTTTTCATTTTGTTGGACAAAACAGAGACGAGAACATAACTCACACCATTTTGAGATGCAAACCATGGATCTACATTTTGGCGTTCTGGCACCTGTCTGATTCCTTCTATGCATACTTGCACATCGTTTTCAGGTGTTCTTGATACCGTCCTTCTACAGTATACATGTATCATAGCAGTTGAATTTAAACGTTAACATAGGTTATGGTATAACTTTGTTTTTTTGTCCCTAAAAAAAAAACAATAGAAATTGTCTATTGCTATCTCTTATAGACAGTTAAAATCTACAGCAAACAAATAAGCAACTAATACAAAATAAATTATTTCATATCAACATAATCAAATATTATGGTTTCAAACGCAAAAGACTTAATTATAACAGTCGTTCAAAGAAAACCAATAGTAATTTGATACTGTTTAAATATTTAATATTTATTATACCAATAAATGTATAGCAATCAAGTGTCAGTCGTAAAATTTAACATTAATAAGCACCTGCGTTAAACTAGAAAACGGTAACAAGTGAACGTCTAAGTTTATACAATAGAGTAATAACGTATACAGTAGAGGACATTTCTTTCCTACCCATTTCGCTGAATTGTAATATGACGCTTACAAAGCAAATAAATCGAAAATTTGCCACAAGGACACACAATGTTTCATACTTATAGCTCTCATGTTGACAGGTTGTTGCGGATTTAATCGAATCTTAAGCGGGAAGGAAATTTAATTCCTTAACCATACATTAGACGCAGACCGCAATAATTAAAGCAACGCTGTTAACACACCATTCACGACGTTTACCGAGTCAAAATATTTATAGGGCAGGTGCAACGGTTGCAAGCGGCGTGGCGTGGTCCCGAAAATTTTTATAATTAGCCGACCGTTCAAAGTAATAATTACGTAAGTAAATACAATGACGGTATGAGAAACAAGCGTCATAATTAAAGTGCGATTAGAGAGGGGTGTATGTTGTTTTTACGTTGTCGAACAACTCCGGCGACGATGTCTAAGTGTTGGTAATTTGTACAAGACGTTAACAATGCAAGGCGTGCCGCGTTATTATAAAATTTACAATGTATTCTGATATTACGGATTTACAAACATTTGAGTGAAATGGTTTAAAAAAGATGCTCGTTGTGGTTTCTACATCTATTAAATTACTTTGATCTACGATATTAGATGCTTAGTTTTTTTAGAACGATTTTTAATTAGTACTTAATTTTTTTAATAGCGCAAGAGCATTTTTTTAAAACTTCTTTTGGTATATCTATCTAGATACATACCTGCTTATTAGGTATCTTTGGAGATTTTCTCTTCAGCAAATATTATTTTACATTTTATCTTTAGTAACGAAGATAGATAACGTTCATGTCAGTGATTGTTTTTCTTTCCATTGTAATAATCTAGTTTTAGCGTGATCACTAACGTAACGTAAATAACTTAGTAAAAATTGTTCGGCTATAAATTATATGTTGTTTATTTAAACCACGCTCAAGCCGGAAATGTTAAGTATATTATAATTTCATCCGTCACATTTTTATCGCTTGGAAATTAACAGTCTATTGAGTCACCACGACGGTTATAACGCCTTTGTTAACGTTGATAGCGGTCGCATCATCAAGAGCCTTTAAATATACTATCTTGATAAAACTCACTACAAATAATATTCAAAAGTAAAGCGAGTGGAAAGGCCGATTATAAATTAGTAAAATAAAACTATGAATTCCGTTATCTGCTCTAATAAAACTCCTTTGAATATTAAAATGTTGCGTCAAGGCTCTGGTAAAAGTTTCCTACCCGTCCACACCTGGCGCGTCTAATTGAATTGTAAAACCTTCGTCATGACCCTTTGGCGGTCAAATCGACGTACAATCTGATTATTATCGATAATCATTTTTCGTGATCGCGCCGGGATACTGAGACGGAAAAGGAAATTGCTAATATCCTTGTAAAACTTCCTAATAGGCTATAAACGATGCCTGTATCAATTTTCAAAAACCCAATAATGTAATGTTATAAAAGCATTATTCTAGCGTATCCTAATAATCAGCTTCATTACACCCAATGGGCACATTAAAATAACCTATGAGGCATGTTCATTGCGGGAGAAAAAATTTATACAATAAATAATTTGGGGCTCTTGCGAACGGGACAACCCCAGCGAGGGTAGTCTACAACACGAACAACAAAAGCTCCTAATGACAAATATTAGGCTGCGACGCATACGCCTCCACGTGCCTAATGGACTTTACAATTGCTTTATACCACGTACGGCACATTGTAGCCTATTAACAGCATGGGAGCTTTTACATTAACCCCGTTGTAAAGGCTTGTATATCGTTGTACTGAAACACTGATTTTTGAACGTAAAATTCGTTAAAATATTTATATCATTGTAATTTAGAATCGTCAATATTAAAGTGTCAGTAGGAGTGATCTATGTCGATACGAATGCGGGCTTTGATAAATCAATATGAATAGTTAACATCACGCCGGCGTGAACAATTAGTGCAGCACTTACAAGTCTTCAAACACGTTTGACACGCGTTACAGCTATATAGAAATTCACTTACGCGCTCGCCGCGGAAGCTAATAAATTATAAACGACCAATCCGTCTCACACTAATATGCCACATTGCCACCCGTCCGGGCGCGATCCTGACACATAAATCAACACTGAAATAGACCGACGACGCCCGCTTCCGCTCGTCATTTGAAATACTTTCAAAAAAATTAATCTACAAAGATTTTATGAAGTGTATTCCTTTTCCATTGCACCATAAAAGGGATACTTTGACTTCAAGCAACTTCAACGTTAAGTTTCTTCATCCGGTTCCTTTGAAGAAAAACAGATTACTAAATTAAATAGGCTTATATTTTTCTACAAAATGGTTTTCTTTTAAAAAGAAAGGGTTAAAGTTATACATAAATATCTATAATACTAATGTATTAAGATTTTATTTATTTATTTATTTATACAAACAAACATACAATATCACAATTCAAATATAATTTTACAAATACGTTTCTCACATTTTTTTTTTACTTCTAATTTTTAATTCGGTATTTTGTTCAATTATATGTATATCCTTGGCTCCTTTACTAGGTTAATCCCCTGTATTAAAGGAGCCAATGACTTCCCTTAATTTAAAATAAATATAAATAATAGGAGTATTGTTTATTTATTTAATTGAATATATTACAAAACCAACGAGTCTTAATTTAGACTATTATGCATTACAGAGACGGTTTGTTTACCCAGTAAAATGCATCAGTGTAAAACTAACAATAACCGCATTTAATACGCATGTTAACCGGTCGGAAATTCAGTTTGACTTTATTAAATAGCCTGTTGGGAGTGAGACCGGCCCGCCGGCCCTTCGTCCCAGCGCGCTGGCAACGTGGTACGAAATCGTACGAGTCAATATTAGCATCATTATTCATGGTGCATATCGTATTGTATACGTCCTCGTGACTCGTGGTCGATTGTCCCTTGACGACCGGTGTCG